CTTGGGCCCCAGGCCATGTAGGCCAAGGCGCCCAGCACCAGAAATCCAGATCCAGCACGGCGGTTCATGGTGCGATCGAAGAACGACAAAGCAAGCAGCGCCGAGCCAAAAAACTACGTGCAGATGCCAAGTACATCCTGCAGGCCATGAAACAGCAGAGACCGGGCGAACACAAAAACTCTTGGCCGCGTCAGACGGCTGCGACATTGAGAAGAGTGCTTTTGGGCGTCTGGCCTTCTGGTCCGTGTCGGCACATGCCGGTGTACGGCTGTCAGAAAGAGACAAGCCCTCGAAGCGGACTTCCTCCAAAAACGAGCTGAGCTTTGTACACGTCACTCATGCAAAGATGAGCGATCTGACCTCGTGAACCGAGATGGAAGACATAGTCATCAGCTTAGACACCCTCGCCGCTTTTGCCCCAGTGGTCCCAGCATCCGTTGCCCTTGCGCTGGGTGTAGTAGGCGGCGGCGCGCTCCTCGCCCTTGAACGGCACCTGATGTTTCATGTTTTTCACATGAGGACAATCGGCAGCCAAGGATCCAACTCTGCCCCGCTTTCCAGAGCCCCCCCTCCCCGCATTGCTACCCCGGGCCTTGACGTATCCTGCGTACTCCTCCAGCTCGCCCTTCTCGTTTTTCTTCCAGGTGTAGGTGTAGCTCTCGGTCTTCTTCGCCGGCTTCAACGGAAGGACATACAGGCCGCTGGGGTGAGACATCTCAGGGTCATCGTCGTTCACCCACTTGGAGCCAGCCATGCGCACCACGGCACCCTCCGGCCTGCAGCCCTTCAGTGCAGATCCGGTGAAGCTTGGGCCCCAGGCCATGTAGGCCAGGGCACCCAGCACCAGAAATCCAGATCCAGCACGGCGATTCATGGTGCTAGCGAGGCCGAGCAGCACAGAGCCCAGCAGCTGCAACCCACTTTGCTCACAGGTGCCCCTGCAGTGTGACCCTCCAGTGAACAAACCAAAATTTCGAAGATGCAAGCCTTCGTCAGCTTGCACACATTCACATGTTGTCATAACATCAAAAAGCTGCTCATCTACCGCCCCATCCAGAGCCTGACCAGCCATACCGGAAGCAGCCAGGCATCAGACCTCTCGAGCGCAGGCAAATTCTCCAGTCAGCACATGACGGCAGCAAGGCCCCAGCCAGAATGACCAGGGATCGCGTCCAGCCATCCAAAGAACCTTGTCAGCCAAGAGCCATGCAGCGAAGCTCAAGCAGATTTACAGACGAGCCTGAACTGTCCCAAATCTTTATTTTTCTCATGACCATCTCTTGTCACAATAAACAGCTATCATTGTCCTATATTGAGGTTCTAGCGTCACGCCATTTGTTCCGACAGCAGGTGTGCTTGGATGGCCCATCCAGGTATTACAGAGGATGACTGGCTAGCTTCATCATCTTGGGCGGATGCCCACTGCGAAGCGACGATGAGATGCAGAATCCCCTCCATCAGCTATGTCGTTGTTGGGTAACCGCGAGACTTCCGCGACGACTGGACCTGAAACCAATGTCTCAGATGCTGACATATCCACAGATTGAATCAACGTCGCAGGCTTTCAGGGGGAAGCTCAGAGTTTGTAGGATGGTCTCAGGGTTTCTGGGCTTTGCTGCAAAGGATGTGAGCCGTGGTTCGGAAAACGCAGACGAAAGAAGCGTTTTGGGCTTTCTGGTCTCCGAGTGCTCTCCCGGTAGCCTCCTGGTAGTCCCCTGGTGTTCTGCAGGGCTTTTGCACGAGTACTGGCGGAATTCGGGACCACGACGTACACTGCGCTGCGATTCGACGTGTTCGAAGCCAAAGTGACCTGTGAATTGGAATTTTACCTGTATAAAGAATCGGAATGCACCGCACCAGGGCAGGAGCTGCGTCCCGGGGAACGCTTTGCCGTACGGGGATGCTGACCGTTCTTCCCAACGTTAGAGCCTCATGAGGTGTACCATACTGTCGGGGCCCAGGCCCTTGATGGCAGGGCGCAAAACGGAACGTGACTCAATGTTCTGCAAGGCCCGCTTCCAAAAGTGTCGCCTGCATCTGAGTCTGCCGCCCAGCCCTCCAAAGGTATTCCTGACGGAGAACGAGAAAGAGATCACACGCAGGGCGCAAAGGCGAAAGGCACCTGCGCCCCAGAGAAGGTAGTGGTTGATGCCAAAGGACCGACAAGCTTGTGCATAGTGCTGGGAGTCCTCTCATCCACTCTTTCACTTCCGGTTGCTTTCCAGCCTATGGCGTAGCAGACTGCGAAAGGCACGGCCACCAAACGGCTTCAGCTTGGAGCTGCGCGGAGCAGAGGGAATGTCCTCAAGAGGAGTGGCACTGTGGCGGATGCCATCTTCGCACCAGAAAGCCCATAGGGCCCCTCCTGCCAAGTCTATGCTTGCCGACTTCGCATTGACCCAGGGAGGTGTTTCTGAGGTGAGCAGGGCTCCTACGGCGTCCGCACAGAAGAAAGCTGAAAGTACCTCTGTCCACACCCCCCTCTCCTCCTACTGTGTTTGCGCAGATTGCACTGCTAGTTCTAGATTCTAGAGTCTCGAGTCCAACCTAAAGAGCTTCACTGGCAGCACGAGCTTCGATGCGAAGTGGACATGTGATCGAGTCGAAGCTTTCGCGAGCACGACAAAGTGCAATGTGTCAGCTCGGAGGCACAATTCGTCTGCTTCGTCGGCCGTTGATCTCGGAGCGGATGAACGCCTGAACGGGCAACCCATCTCGAGAACGTGATCGCAGCCGTCCCTGCGCCTCATCCGTGGTGGCCAAGAAACTGTGCTTCCAGTCATGAAAGGCCATCGAGACCTTGCTGGCGAGTGAAGCTGGAGGCTCAAAAATGAAAGAGCACACGGCCACGGATCGCAGCCGTTTTGCTATCTTTGACGGAAGTGCGACTGCTTCAGCTCAGGTCTGGGGTTTGGGTTTCGAAGTGCCGCCAGAGATCAGCTACAATGCGCTTGGACCTGCAGAACCACCATCCGGCACCATTTGTGCAACAGATACTCCAACAATTGCAGTCAGCCGGCTGGCAAATCGAACCGAGACCCGCTGCCTTTTGCCAAGTCGGAAGTGGCCGCCAATCACGCTGCTTGCGCGGCGTTGCAGCTTGCGCCTTTCGGACAGCTCCAGCGACGGCGCATTGCTTCGGAATTATTTGCTCTAGTTTTGTGAAATCTCACCACACGGCGAGGGGAGGGAAAGAAAGAGAGAGACAGAGAGAGAGAGAGAGGAGATGGTGAGAGCGAGTGAGAGTGAGAGTGCCGGGACGAACCAAAACATGAAGTTGAGGTTGATCCCGGGATCAGATTTTGCTGCTGTACCAACCAGGACACGACAGCCCACTGTCGCTTGGCACCTCGTCGGCAAGGAGACCCAGATGCACCTCACCATGACAACCAATGACAACATGTCGCTAACAACGATTCCAGGCGGCGTAGGTTACATTCCAGTCGTCTGCCGGAGGCTCAGTGCATCATCAGAGCAGAAGACATGCTTGGTCCTGGCCTGCCCACCTGTTGGTGATCCCAGTGAGGTCCTTCGCGGAGTGGACTCAAGCACCCTGGACCCTGGCCTATTCTGCACAGTTCATGTGCTTGTTTACAGCTTTCCACCGTTCTATTCGGGCGGCGACCCTCACCCTGTGATTTACAGGCTGGAGGCTCTCCGACACTCCAACAGTCCAGCTTTGGCTCGACCTGGCACCCGCAAACCACCATAGCGGCATAAAGCACAGCCGGTCGAGCTGGTCCACTTCCAGTGGGCTAAGAGATACCAAAAACCTAGCTCAAAGAAAGCTTGAAGCTGCATGCCTCTGGCCCTCGACCACGTGTTACCAGTAGCGGTCTTGGAGTTTCTATAAAGGGCAGCTGCGGGAGAGCCGGAGCGGTCGACGTGCAAGCCGTCATCCGGGTCAGCTCATCGGCCCTGTTTCTCCTGGTTTAGGGTTTAGGGTTTAGGGTTCTGAATGTCTGAGCTCTCGCATTTTGTTCGCTCTTTCGTCCGTCGCGCAGCATGCACTCGCGCAAGCACTCCACTTCCACTGCAGTTCGGAGGGATGTGAATTGAGACGTTGAGACTGAGAAAGGTGAACTACATGTCTATCCATACACGTCGCAAGTATGAAGCTGTGAAAATTCTGAGGACTGTTCAGCAACTTTTCTCGGCTTTTCCCCTGAGACAGATGCCCTGCAGTCGTTCGGCAGAGCACAGTCTACAAAATCCAGAGAATCCCGAGGCCACCGCCTGTTTCGAAGATGTGCTACTGACTATTACTGGAAGATCTCTGATGGTGATGATGATAGAGGAAGACAGAGAAGGCTGCAGGCAGCGGTCCGCTATGTGCTACACTCGGCTTCATGTTCCTCTGCCTGGAAGGCTGTTTGCCGCCACGGCATGGACTTGCAGCCGTTGGAGGCTCTCGTGACCGTGAACAAGAGTCTGAATGCGATAACCTGCGCATTTTCCACCACAACTACCACTTGACGAAATGCTTGCCTTACTTTTTTAGCTCCGCTTCAGGCCACCAACAGCTTAAAGCTTTCAGCCAGTCTGACACTACTTGCAGATCACAAGCGCGGAACTTCTCGCACCCCTGGCTTGCTTCGTGTGGTCTAGCAAGCAATTTGAAGGCCTCTCTTGGAACTGTTGCATCGCAAGGCTTGGGTCAGTCTTCAAACTGTTGTGCCGCAAGGCAGTTTCGTAACACCTACTTTTTGGCATTGTCCGATGCATCTTGCACCCAGGCACTTACACATCTCTGCATGTCAAAACCGAATGTCCGGGAGGTCGTGCACAAGAAAGTTGCCGCCGTCATCTTCGCAGTGGATTCGGAGACACTCAACACTGGCTTGCAAAACAGTGCCTCCCTTAAAGATGAAACTGAGAAGCAGTGCTAAGCAGGCAGGGTCGGCGCATCTGACTTGGAGAGAGTCTCCCTAACCTCAAATTTCATCTTTGCATCTTCCCCTTGTCATCACTTCGTTCGCTTCTCATATGCCGCTCATAGTCTCATAGTCAATTGTGGGAGGGACTTCTTCGAAACCTGAGGTGGGGTCAGAGCAGCAGCGCACGCTGCGCGTAGTACTGGACGTCAATATCTGGGTCGTGCTCCAACCTCAAAAGGTTTTGGATTGAAGGCCGGGACTTTGGCGGACGTAAATGTCCTCTTCAACCAAGGGCGCAGCTCCAGCAAGCAAGGCTTGATGGTGGTGGTGATAGTCTGGCTCCCCAGGTTGTGGTGCTCCATCCTGTCATGCAGCTGATAGCTATCACATCACAGCCGGGAGCACACCCCAAAACATGCACTTGCCTTTTTAATTATCGGATCTGGGTTTGTACCAAAAACGAGCACACAGATGGGTGCTGCCTATATTCCTGCACCTGACGCAATGGCACAACACCAAGCAGTCCAGGACCCAAAGCGCTCACATGCCTGTTTGCGAAACTCCCGAATACCTTCAGCCTTGAACAAGCCGGTGCGGCATCCACATGATTGTTCGACAAGCGCAGAAGCGAACGTTGGGCACGGTGTCCTGCAGGAAAGCTTCTACCATCCTATACAGGTTTAAAACGACATGCCGTGTAGACTTCTTGCTCAATGCCCCCATCTCAAAATGGACCGAAGCACACGCATTCACGGCAATTGTTGTTTCCGCCTTCGTCGCCTTGATGAGAAGAGGCACTATGTACTGGACAAGCTGATCGGGCCTTGGTCCGGACAGGGCTGTGACGGCATGACGCTGGAACCACTGCGAGTCGGCTCCGAGGCCACACCCTTCAAAGAAAGGCTGTTTCCTGACTGATGCCCTGCAGGCACCGTTTCATCTTCAGAAGTAAGCGGCAGCGTGAAATAGATCCTGAAAGAGGTCCTGTTCTCCGCGAGATCATGTCACGATTCAACAGCACTTTGCCAACATCCACCATATTCACAACAACATGCAGGTTTCCTGAACCCTGAACATGGTGTCGGAGGGCCTGTGCAAAACTGGAACGAGCACGAACGAAGGAACAGCCCCTCTTTCCGCGAGTTCATGCTGTGAGAGGGGCTTCCAGGCCGTTCTGAGGCTTGTGCGTCATCACACCCGAGACTTGCGGCAGCACGTGGAGCCTGAGGATCACAGGATGCTCAAAAAAGCTGGGCTCTGTCTCGCGAATGGCAGGAGGCAGAGAAGCTCCAAAAAGCTCCAAGACTCTGGCGTTGTCACGCGGTTGGCGTAGCCGACGCTGCCAGAGTACTGCTCGACAAGCTTAGGCCTGAAAGGACGTAGAGGCCACGGTCAGACTGTTCAGCTTCTGCCCATCTCGGGCTGCTTTTTGGGGCCGGGCAGTAGATGTTCCACGGTCCACTGAGAACCGAAAGTATCAGCGATCTCTTTCAAGTGCTGTATCGCGGCCTCGTGGGTGTAAGGTCCCGGAGCGTCCCTTGAGCTAGGAACATGCTTCAACAGCAGTCCTGACGCACCGAGTGCACGGAGTCGCGCAAGCTGGACAGGAAGATGGTCTGCAGGGCCCAGCATTCGTGCAATCAGTTTTGGCCACCCTGCAGAATCGAAGCTTAGCACTATTTCATAGAAACCCGAGGAGAGCATGGAAACGGCACGACAACCCAGTTTTGATTACTATCCTGGACGACCCTATAGAGAGATGACATTGTAAAGGCCTGCGAGTGCTGGTGATGATAACCTTGAACGCATCTCGAGCTGCGGTGCGGTGTGCCTGGACTAACCTGTGGGGCCTGTTGCAGAGAACCGGTACCACCGCTGAACCCTAGGCATGGACACCTACCAATGGGGAGGAGACCCGTCCTCCAGCTTGGACTGGAACATCTCCATGCCGAACAGCCGCGACTGAATTCAGGTCATGCTGGGTCATCCGACTTCTTTTCTGCATTTGATCTGCCCTCACCCTGAGTGTCGGCGCTTCGGGGCAAGTCCAACTAAGCCCGTGACGAGCTTCGGAACTTGCTCTACGACGCTCTGACCTGAAGGCTGTAGGGAGAGGGGCTCAGGCCGTCCAGGCCACAAGCGCGACGTTTTCGCTGTTCAACGCTTGAGGGATGCATTGTGGGGCCCTGGCGGATGCGCCAGTGGTTGTCCATGATCAGGTTCTGCACCGTGTGCAAGAGTGAGTGGACCTCAACACTACTCATCGGAAGTGAGCAAACAGAACTGAAGACGAGAATCGGCTCTCACGGAATGCATCCAGTGCTCTCGATCCCGTGCTTGCCCACAAGTTGGCGAGGTCCCCCGAAATCTGGGGAAAGAGCCAGACCATCCACACTCAAAACTTCGCAGATGAGGCCGGCATGCGAGACGATATTCAGCCGCACGTCGTGGAACTCGTCCTTTAAGCTCGCATTTCTGCCGATACGAAACCGGCCTGCAAGCTTCTGGAACCACATGGCCTCACACTAGGGTACTGCCGAGATGTGAAGGCCCCATGCACAAAAAACTTCCTCGACCTTGCGAGCAGATCCGTCCTTCATGAGGTCGGAGATCAGGCCTGCCAAGAGCTGCCAAGAGCCAAGACGAGAGGAAGCGGCACTGCCGAGCATGTGCGGAGCATGAACATGCCCACGTAGACTCCATCAGAGAAACGAACTTGCTTTGCAATCCACACGACATCTGCAATGCAACGAGATAATGTTGCCGGGTGCGCTCAGCAGCTGTCGCTGCGTAACCTTTCATTGCTGGGCACTCCGCTTCAATTGAAGCTACCGCCTTTGCTTTTCCAAAACCCCCGAGGCGACCATGGCCGCCACAAAAGCATGCAGAATCAGATCAAGAGCGTACCGGGCTTCTGCCGTGACCGAAACATCGCAAGCTGATAGCCAAAGCTCCCCCTTTGAACTCTGAAGCGACCGCACATCCACTTCCTTGCCAAGCGACGTCACGTCCGAGGGCCTTCGCCACTGGCCCCAAAACTTGTGCCAGGGCCTCCATTGGACACTCACTCACCAGACTAAGGCCGCCAGCCACTGCAGGGACAGGTTTTCGGAAGATTTTGAGTGACAACAGACGTCGGAGGTCCTTCAAGCAGTCTTCAGTACTACCATGCAAGGACACTCCAAAAGCAGAGCCCTGCCTGCTGCCCGGTAAGTTCTAAGTCTCGCTATGTGCTGGGGCCGAGGCGGCTCGCACCGACTGCGCAGGATCCAGGCCCAGGGCTTGGAACTGCGGCCTCGGCCAACAGAGACCTCTTAGGGAGCGAGGTCTCCCAAGTCAGAGCTTGCTAACAACAGCTGGGCTGCATTGAGGCGAGAGGGACGTCTCAGCTTCTGGCAGAATGTGCTGCTGGAGCTGCTCGGATGTGAGAGGCTCTGGCCTTGCACTCGTGGGCAACACATCAGACTTGTCGGAGCACTGCAAGGTGTCGGGAGCGGTACTGACTTGGTGACTTCAGGCCCGCGCAGATTGAGACACGCCTCAATCACCCTCACAGCCTCCTTTCTCACTTCCTGCTCGTTGTCCTGAAGCTTCTATGGCAACGCTATGGTCTGCAATGCCAGCATAGAAGTTGCTCGAATCTTCTCGCAGTTTCTCAGCCTGACAACCCCACGCTTGCAGCAAGACTTAGAATGGTCAGCGGTATCTACAACATCCTTATAGCTCGCCTCTCAATCGGGCTGCGCAATGCTGTGCACCACAGGTCGAGGCCGGCATGCTTGGCAGCAGACTGCACTTTCACAAGCAAGGGGAGGGCCTTCATGAGCTGGATGAACGGCTGCATCAACTTCTGAGCTGTCAACTCCGGGCCTTTACGACACTGTCTGACTCTGTCGGTTCGTGGCTCTAGGCACAGAGCGCTAAACGCTGGCCTGAAACGCTGAGCTCCATGCCAAAGGCTTGGCAAAGCTGATCAAAGTTCTTGGCAACTGTAAGCCTGACAACATCGGCATGACCGCACGTGAAAGTATGCTCCTATCTGTCTATTTCTATGTACAAGAACACATGGGTCCAATTCTTGGAGCTGCAGAGCCTGCTGATTCTGTTGAAAACCTTCATATTGGCTGTGGTCGCTCGGCCTACACTTTGCACCCTTGGCCAGGTATGCAAGGAAAAAGGCCCTGACCCTTGGTACCTTGGGATACCTTGGGCTAGGGCCCGGAGAGGCGAGGCCGGGGGCACCTCCTTAAGCCGGCCTCGACCCCAACACCGCCAATAAGGCAGTCTTCGCTGGCTACATGGAGGCACCCGCAGGCCTTACACGCCAGGAGCGGTCCTCAGCTGCATCCTGCGTGTGTGCAAGGGGGAACGGACAGCACACATCCTTGTGCTGGTGCTTGCAGCATCTGCATGACAGTCGCTGCAAGCTGCGGCTGCGAAGAATCGACTTTTGCAATGTTGCTGGTCTAGCCAGGGTTCTGACCTGCTTGAGCGCAGCAGCCGTGGCAGCTGCCAGCCCAGCTGTGGCTAAAAGGAACCATCGATAGGTCTGGGTATGTCTGGGTACTAGATATCAACTGCCGGTCCTTGATCACTGCCACGGTATGCTGACGATTCCTTGCAATCAGGTGGGCATGATCGAGAGTCAAACTCTGGTCTGCCAGGTGGCCAGCAGATCTCGCTTCTGAGAGGAAGACTCGTCGGCATTCAACATCTTGGCAATGACCAGCGTGGCGTGAACACAGGCAACACGAATTGTGTCCTGAAGTCGTGAAGATCGAGCATGCTTTGACTGCGACCCCTTTGTGGTGCTCAGGTTCTAGGACAGACAAGGCGGCAGCAGAAGAGTACATGTTCGGAGGACAGGCTTTCTTCCGCGCCAGACGGGCGACGACGTTCTGTTTCCTTCTTCCGCTCGGACTGAGGGACCGTCCAAACCTCGTGACAGTCCCTCGAAAGTATTATCACTCATCACGTAACGCATATGTCCTAAGTGCTCCAGCCGCCCTGCATGACATGATGCAGTGAATGCAGTGTTCTGTCTGGGGACACCTCACGGACCCCTAGTACTCATGCACGGCATCCGTACTAGGGCGAGTTACAGGAAGTGGGATCTGTTCCTCTGTCTCTTTCTGTCTTTGTGCAGGGCCCAGGTGCGCCTGCTCTTGAATGCCAGATTCTTGACACTGGGGGGACTTCGGCCTGGTCTGGGATCGGCATGTTTTTTCCAGGTGGCTATGTCCCCTGAAGTGCGCTCGACGAGGGTCCAGCCATCAGTTTCCCACACACTGCGGAAGGTGTCTCCTCTTCGAAGGTCTATGTCTCGTGGGTCGGCCTCATGCCTGGTGCTCGCGATCTCCCCGCATCGACCTCCATCAACCAGGCTCTCGGCATCAAGGAGCTGGCAAGGTCCCATTTTTTGGCGTCCTGCGCCTGCGATGCTTCATTAGATTTCGTGGGCTTCATAAGGACTTGGGTATAGATCTCCGGGCCTGGAAGGGCCTCGTGTCGGGCCTCGCTAGGATAACGCGGAGGTCAGGTGATCAGCGCCAGATTTGGGGGAACAGGTACTGCACTTCGGCTGTATGGCGATGGTGCCGGTGGGGTTGTGTTTTGCCGTTGTTTGGTCGGCTTTGCTGAAGGGCCCGTTGCTGTTCGGGACTGCTGGTTGCCGCGGGGTCACGGTAGGGGTTGGTTCGGCGGGCGGCCTGCGCCGCTGCTGTGTGTCTGGCTGGGTTGGTGGGCTGCTCGGGGTTGTCGTGACGGCTTGGCCCCTGCGGCGCTGCTGCTGTTGCTGCCCCCTGTTTGTGCGGCTGGGCCCCCGCGGTAACTTTTGGGTAGCAGGTGCCTGTTAAGCAGGTCTGCGAAGTTGGGGCTCTAGCGACAACCGCGACATTGCTCCTTGTGCTATCTTCCTCTTGCGGGCCTTGAGGACCGCTCCCCTTGATTAACGAAGATTGCCCCCGCGTCCTCACGCAACCACATGTCCGATACCCCTGCAGAGTCTCGGAACCCACAGACTCGGCTGCAAGCTGGGATCAGGAGCACGCTTCCGCAGCGGGTCAATGCACTCCCTCTCTCACTCTCACATTATCTTTTTATATCTTTTTATGTCTCCTTCTCTCTTACCTCACCGGTGCATGGAGGAAGAACGAGGCCGTCTGCGCGCCACGCAGGGTGAGGTTTGAGGGTCCTGAGTATCTTCCTGGGACAACTGCTTGTACACACCGATCAGGTCTGTGAGAAGATCCTGTCCAACACCACTTGGGCAGTTCCCAGCACTGATGACATACCCAGCTGCCTGCTTCGCGCAGACTGAGACGAAATCACGCATCTTGTGTGCCGCAGCACGACGCACCATGGGCGTCTCGTCGGCACACAGCATTGTAAAGGCCTGGCAACCGATGCAGGACCAACAAGTCAAGCATGACAAACTGAAGTGCCCTCGGCACACTGAGAATTTACCTCAAACGTCGCAAGGATCACTCGGCGCAAGCCCATTTTCTGATCGTCTTTCACCTCACATCTCTTGCGAGAAAGCTGCAAGCGAGCACAAGCAAGTAAGGCAACTCCCTTTCGAGCTCGAGACATGACGGTAGGCAAGGGGAAGAAGCGCCTCAGGAGTACATCGAGCTGCGACAAGCAAAATCGAGACCAGGTCCCCCAAAAAAACAAAAACTAACGGCAGCTAATGTGTGCCATGACCAAGAAGGTCCAAGAACCCCTCTTCGTTCCTTATGAGCACCGAGGAGTCCGCGCAGGCAGACACACGAGCAGTAAAGAAGTCGGTCTTCGTGGCCAGACGATGAAGAGTTGGCACCTGAGACAGGAAAATCCGAAAGGCTTCAGAGTTTCCTGAAACCGTCTCCGTCTCTGACAGGCACGATGGCAATGTCAAACAGCTGAGAGTACTGCCAGATGCTCCGGTGCCAGCGCAGGCCTTCAAGGCTCAATTTTCTCAAAGACGCAACGCAGAAACAATGCGGCCAGCTCTTTCGACATGCTGTGCAAAATAGCACGGCCACGAGATTCGAACCTCTACACAGAAGCACCAAAGACCTCGTGAAACACATGAACAGACACACACACACACAGCATTTAGCACAAGTTTCTGAAGCGGCCTACAAAACCTCCCCCTTTCCTTTTGTGCGATCGCGAGCAAACGGCGATGTCAGAGAGTTTCAATGCCTCAGCCTTACCCGCAGAGCGGAGACTCCAGGCTCAGAATAAGATACAGTCGTAAAAAGTCTGAATCTGAACGAGTGGCATTTTCCTACTCGTCCGGACACAACGTCCTGGCAACCACTGCAAAGGCTTTCCCTTTTTCCAAGGTCTTTCCTGAAACTTCGACAAGACATGCCGTTGCATAGGAGCAACTTCATGGAACGGTTTGCAGAACGATTTCTGGTCCTTGGATGAGTAGAAGCATGCACACTGCTGCTCTGTTGCCTCAGCTCCCCGCCCCGTTTAGCACTTGTGGGCTGTAGCATGTCCACGGTTGGTGTGGAACTGAGGACGAACACAGACACTATGAAATAAACACTCTGGTCTGTGGTTAAAAGCTTACTGCAAGGGCACGCCTCTGCCTCTCTGAAGCAAACTGCACTGCATGACCGAGTGGCTCGGCTGCCGCAGTAAGAATAAGAGTCTCTTCAAACGGAAAACGATTCGTTCATTTTTTCGTAGACTGCGGTTTAAAAAAGTATACAGTACGTACCTGCCGCTGGCAGGTGGACTTGGGAACACACACACACGCGCCGATCCACGCTGCGTGTGCAAAGCAGCCAAGTCCGATGGAACAAAAAGGAAAATGCATGCAAACATCCAAGAGGAACCGATCTTGCTAGTCGGCCAAGTGCAAGCATGTGCTCGACGGCCATCCAGCTCAGGGTTCAGTGGATCTGGGCACTCATCACGTCGAGAGCTTCCTTAAGGCACAAGACGGGGCCCTGGCTGCTCAAGAGCTCCAGCACCTGGCAGCAGCTACGCGGCTATGGCTTGAAGGTGGCAGAAGCACAAGCCAACGGCCCAACGGCCCAGCGGCCCGGCCTTGCCACGCTGCTGTGGAGGGGCCTTGGACTTCGCGGCGAAGTCCAGAGCTGTTCTTCCACGAGACGTTCTCTGCGTGGGCGGTGCCCCGGCGGCTAGAAGCATTCTCACAACTTCAATATCCCCCACCTCGGCCGAGTCATGCTGGTCTTACGTTTGCGTGCACCCTGAAGTGTTTGTTTGGCTGTTTAAAGCATCCCTGCCTTGGCCGCCAGGTGAAGTGGGTAGATGGTCTCGGCTTGGAAGAAGCAGCTGGACCCTAAGCGTGGCTCAAACTCGTCTGCGAAGCCGTTTGACTTCAAGAATTCCTGCAACCGCTCGCGTTGACGCAGCTTCCGCAGCTTCGACTTCGCCCTTCCACCCAAACTAGGAGGCTGAATTTGCTGCTTCTGCTCTGACTCCTTAGCCTGCAGTTCGGCCACTTTGGCATTGCCAGAGTGCAGCCAGTTAGCCACACTCTGAATCGAACTTCTGGTGGAAATGCTTGCGGTACCTGGCGCACCAAGCCGCTCCTCCCATGAGTTCACAACCGGACAAGGGCTCGTCATCACTGCAGATCCTTCAGCAGGCACAAGCATTGCTATTCCAGCCGATACGGCTGCAAAGACGCGGACTTGTCAGCGGCACATTGCTACGCGGAATGATGTAGAAATCTGCTGAAAGACTGAAAGAAAGCAGGCGTGTGGCGGTGCCACGCCTCTTTTCAATGACCTTGCACAAGGATTGGATAGCCTGGCATCACGGGCAGATTTTGTACCAAGAACACAGAAGATGCTCTCTGCCTGGTCTCGGATGACCGTCTCCTCTTGGGCTGCCAGGTGCTCCAAGGGTGCTATGAGCCTAAGAAACAGGAAACCTCACCCTGAGCTTCTAAACACGTGAAGCTTGCAAGACTGAGCTCATGACAAGTCGTCGTGCCCATTGATGTAGTCAGACAGTACTGCATACTGCCTGGACAAGTTAGCCACCGTGCGATGGGTCGGTCTAGGAATACTACGACGCCACGGGCTGCTAGGCGAATGCTGGATGTGTCACATGCATTTGTTTCCAGCCCCGGAAATGTCCTTCTGCATCCCTTTGCCATCTGACATCCGTCCCTACACCCTCCACGGAGTGACACGGCCTTGCCATTGAGTACAGAAATTCGTCGTCGTTGCACAGAGGCTCCTCTTGCACCACCTGTTAGCGCTGATTTCTGCAGAACATGGGTAATGAATCAAAACAAGACGTACGAAAAGCTGGCTGCAGATTCAGCAACCACATGAGGAGTGACCAGCAACTCGAGCTTTTTAGCATCCGACCACACCTGTACGACGTAAGGAATCAACTCGGCCACCGTCCTGTTCGGCCCTAGGGCCTCAGCAGTTGAAAGGCTAAGAGTGCTGAGTTGGGCTGGACATGCTCCTCTCCAGGAAAGTGACATCACCTTCACATCCGATAACTAAAGAACACTACCGTGACCAACACCACGCTCCCTCGCTCATGTGCCGGTCACGTCGGCCTTTGCATTCCGCACATCGCCCTTGAGGTCGCGACCGAGGCGATGAGATGCAGGTTGTTCACGGCGCCTTAGACTGCACTGTGTGCTCTAGCAGTCCGCTTGAAGCATTTACTAGAGCATTGAGCTTCTGCCTTTCGCCGCAGTCTGCTGACTGTCGAAGCACTGATCGGATCTTAGGGAGGTGCCGATTTTGATGGTCGCATTCTCATTTCTGATTTCTTCCTTGAAGAACTCCAAATAGTTGAAGTCCGTGCCTGTGTTTCCTGATTTACGTGAACAGGCAAATCACTATCCAGAAGTGCTTGCCGTGGCACGAGAAACAGACCTGAGCCAGCGACCAGCCATGGCTGGTGATCACTTGAGGAGCTCACAACGAAGCTTGAGCCCTCACTCCTTGTGCCACATAACGTCAGCCCGGCTGTTTTATGTGCGATCCCACTGCAATCGTCACAGCACGACGAACATCATCTTGTGGCAACGCGCTGCTCTTTTTTAGTTTCAAGACGCCTTCTGGATGTGGCTCGAACCGAAATGTACAGTCGCAACCAAGCCTTTGCTAAATCCCAGTTCTGAGAAAGTTGCAACTTCAAAAACTCCGGGTGGGAACAGCTTAGACTGCCTCACCCTCTCCGCTTTTGCCCCAGTGGTCCCAGCAGCCATTGCCCTTGCGCTGGGTGTAGTACGCGGCGGCTCGCTCCTCGCCCTTGAACGGCACCTGATGCTTTCATGTTTCCACACGAGGACAATCGGCAGCCAAGCATCCAACTCTGCCCCGCTTTCCCGCGCCCCCCCTCCCCGCATTGCTACCCCGGGCCTTGACGTATCCTGCGTACTCCT